GTGTTTTATGAATCTCTTGGTCATATTTTACATTCTGTCATTGTGGGTGGACGCTATGACTTTTGTGAATTTGTGGCAGCGGCTTTATCAATGATCATGTGGGGGCAATGATAATCTTATTTTGTCTCCTCAGAGCGACAGCAGAAGCAGTCCTGTGCATCAGAACAATGGGAGCAGACGGCAAGAACAACAACTGACAGCTGCAATGAGGCTCATTCTGCTCAGGCAGCTGTAATGAAGACAGAGCGACATGTGTTAGCTTCCAAACCCCCCCAGGCGAACAGGCAGCAGACAGCCCCCTCCTCAGGTGAATTCACACCGTTCCCTCTAAGAATAAGCTCAACACTGCAGGGGCTCCAAACACTGAACAGCACTTTCTAAGAAAAGTTGCCTCAGACGGTGTCACCAGCTCACTGTGTTTGATTATGTCTCTAATTCCAGCAGTAAATGTGGAGAACAATCATGCTGAGAAAGTAAGGACAATGTCCTCTCCAGCTGTGGAGGAACCACGACAACCCGTTGTCTCCTGCCCAGCTTCATCTTTCACACCTGCAACCCGAATTATGCCACCAGTGAATCCACCTTCCAACAATACGGCTCCTCAGAAACCCCCTTCAGATCACACAGAGGAAAACGACAATGACTATGACTCAGATGACGCAAGTAGGCCTGATTCAACCTGTTCATTCATATTATTAATATGCTTAATATTTAAATGTGCATAGATACCTTACATACACTATTGGATCATCAGAAAAATAACATTATTGTCACTTTGGGGTGGAGGTTTGACAGGACCCAAATGTAGGCACTGAAGCTGAAATGGTTTCTTGAAGATTTAATAACAAAAAGGGTAACAGAAGCAATAACAAAAATTTACAAAATCCACAAAAACTGAGAACCAGGGATACTCACATAAAGGGGGCAAAGCAATGAGGACAAACCAGCAACAGTGACTGAACAGGAGNTTTTAGTGAACAGTGAACTTATCGGATCAGTTTGATCAGTGATCCGATAAGTTTATTATGGAATCAGTAGTGAACGTGAACAAGAACGACGTTCACTCTGAGAATAATGAGCGTCACACACAGATCACGTTCAATTGATAACGACACTTTTCATTAGATAACGTCAGGTTTTATTACAGCAAACAGCATGACAGACCAGCATGTCTACTAGTCTGTGTGATTCAGACTCATCTGCTGGTATTTCTAATGCCAGTTTTGCAGATCGCTTGGCAAAGTTTTATAAAGGAAGACTGAAAACTGGCACAGTATTGCCAAACACCCTTCCTGATATGCTTCCACACAGAGAAATACTAGCTTATAAATTTAAGAAATGTCACATAACATGACTATGCACCTATATATATATATATATTTCAATTTGCAAATATTTAAGTGCAAATGTGTTCTTTTCCTTACAGCCACACTGGGATCTCTTGAGTTCAGCCTCCTATATGAACAGGAGAATCATGCTCTACACTGCTGTATCATTAAAGCTAAGGTAAGATAAAACCTACTGGTGCAGGAGAAAATCGGTGACAAAATCATAAACACTTGAACAGAGGAGTGTACAGTGACCCAAAAGGTCCACAGGTCAGAGGTAAAATGAATCATCAAAATCGATCAAAAACTTTTTCCCTCTTAAATTTGACACAATTTTATGGTCGATGAACATCATG